GGCAGGGTTCGCATACGGCTCCCCGCCAAAGTCGGCACTCGCACGTTTCGTGTCCCAATCGGCAGCTTCGCTGAAGCCCCAAGTGCGGCACTGACAGTCGCCAAAATAATTGTACAATGGATCGTGGCCGTCCGGACCAAAAATGTAGCCGGCTTTCAGGCGAAAGCATGACTCCTGACTAACTTGCTGGGAGGTCTGAAGCGAAACGGCTGCCCGACCGGACGATCTCCAAGCTCCCCGTCCCCCCCCTGTGGAACTCTTCTTGCTCTCGAGCAAAACGCAGCTAGGGAATGAAGACGGCGTTGGGGCGAGACCATCGTTACGGAACAAACTGCAGAGAGGTCTTAAGCGAAGCGGCTGTCAGACCAGGCGATTGAAGGAGCGGTCCCAGGCACCCCGTCCCCCCTGTGGAAGCCAGCATCGCGGCGAGAGCACGATCCCTGAATCCATATCTACCACTGCTAGAACAATTCAGCGAAAGCGCCAACATGTGGGAGCAGACAGCGGAAGTAAATGACAATACGTGAGGCAATTTAAGGACCCCCATGCGTGCGCGCAAATGTTGCTTGACACGTCGGGTACCGAAGCACGAGAGTGTGTAAACAATGCTCCATGTTGAGGAGTCGTCCTCTATTCGAGGGAGCCTTGATCGGGGACCCCATCTGCATATCGACCGAACCCCCGTCCGTGTAAGTAGCTGTTGCGCAGATTTACAGCACATGTGGCGCGCCAGAACCAGCCCCCCAATCATGCTGAGAACGGCCCCACCTCCACCTGCAGACTGCTCGGACGAGCGTGCGCGGCACTCCGGCGAGAGCCACGCTTGGAGAACGAGAAGTGGCCTCCATCTGGGTCCCGAGGGGGGGGATCGCCAGGGCTGGTCCTGGGAGGAGTTCCCCAGGGGGGCGGTCCGAAGCAAACAGGGCCCACAAGGGCCACCACGAGGGCTCGCGAGCGTCGCTGTCGTCGTCGCCGTCGTCCTCTTCGTCGTCCCCCCTTGGGGATCGGCGGCGCCGGCCGCAAGGCCTTCGCAACATGCTCTCCATCTGGGCGCCTGCACGTGGGGAAACCAAAAGGTACCGATACCACCACTCCCTGGGGTTCGTTCTGACCAGCAGAATCTCGGGGCGAATCCAGCGGTGGCGACGAGGGCCTGCCAGGAGGCCCCAAAAGGAGGCCAGGGTTGTGGTGCGGGTGCCTCAGGGCAATACCATACAGGGACGCATGCACATCAAAACCTCAGGGCAACACCATACAGGGACGCATGCACAGCAAAACGCCCGGCCCACACCGCCGACGCGACGCGCCTGGTGATGCGGCGAGGGTGGGCCGTTGAGAGGGCGAGAAAAACAAAAAATGATAATGATGAGAACGGTAAGAAGAATAACGCGTAGCTGAATGAAGGCTCCTCGTGGAAGAGGAAGGAAGAGGATGAAGAGAAGGAGGATGGAGGAGGAAAGGAGGAGGAGGAAGAGGAGGAGGAGGAGAAGAATGAGGAGGATGAGGAGGAAAAGAAGGAGGAGAAGGAGGAGGAAGAAGAGAAGGGGGAGAACGAGGAGGAGTAGGACAGGAGAGAACAGAAAAAGAGGGAATAGGGAGAGAGGGAATAAGGATGGAGGAGGAAGAGGAGGAGGAGGAGGACGAGGAGGAGGAGGGGGAGGAGGAACGTTTAGGAACGTTTAGTTTAAGCAGAGGCCCAATTGGACCACGTAAGAGGAGGAGGAGGAGGAAGAGGAGGAGGAGGAGGAGGAGGGGGACGGGGACAGCAACGTTAGAGGGGTAGGAGCGAGGAACAAGGAGGGTGGAGACGAGGAAGCAGTGAGCCCGCCGGAGGCAACAACATCCCCATGCAACACCCGCCGAAGCGTTTTTTTTGGGGTCTTCCACACTGCAGCCACAGGGGTCCCGACCCCGTCCCTGGGGGTAGCTTTGCGTCCCGGGTCCGTCTCTGATGGCCATGGAGCAGATCATAGCTCCCCGGCAGTCCCCGCCCCCTCCCTGCGCCGGCTTCTCTCCCCGAGCAGCTTCTTCGCGGTCCCCGGCCCGGCGAGGGCCCCCGGGAGGCCGAAAACAGCCAAGCATCTTCCCTCGCCCCACCCCAGGGGCGCGGCGCAGCGACGACGACGACGACGAGCGACGAGCGACGAGCGACGAGCGACGAGCGACGAGCGACGAGCGACGAGCGACGAGCGACGGACGACGGACGACGACGACGACGACGACGACGACGACGACGCCGAGCGACGACGGCCCCCCCCCACCCCAACAACGCGAGGATGCCTGTGCCTGCCTCCACCGAGGAGCCAAGCCAAGGAAAAAGCGAGGAGCAGAGCCGTCCAGCTTCCGCGGCGCCCCCGCGCACTCGCCGAACCTCAGTCTGGCTGATCGCTCGGCCGCTCACGCTCGACGACGACGGCGACAACGACGACGATGACGACGAGCGGCGACGACGACGACAAGCGACAACGGCGAGCGAACCATCCGATCACGCGATCAGATCGCAGCCTCAGTCACGATGGCGACCGCGCCGAGGACGGGTTGATCACGACCTCGAGCTCGGACGATCGCACGATCAAGCCGAATCGATCACGTTGCCCTCCCTCCTCCTCCTCCTCCTCCTCCTCCTCCTCCTTCATCCTATCCTCCCTCCCTCCTCCTCCCTCCTCCTCCTCCTCCTCCTCCTCCTCCTCCTCCTCCTCCTCCTCCTCCTCCTCCTCCTCCTCCTCCCTTCATCCCTCCTCCTCCTCCTCCTCCTCCTCCTCCTCATCCTCCTCCTCACCCGCCGATGGCTACCAAGCCGGCCACGGATCGATCGTGCATTCGATTCTAGCTCGGACGATCGAATGATCAAGCCGAACCGATCACGTGAGCGGCGATCACGTGATCCCCCGGTCGCTGCGATCTGTAATCGCCAAGAGCGTGCTCAGCAGACACTGAGAGCATTGCCCTGACATCTGACGATGTGGCTTGTTCAATCCACGGCCCCGGAGGTCCCGACCGCTTCCCCCACCAGCCCTCTTGGCGTAGGTGAGTTAACGAAGTGCGACTTCGTTATCCATGACCCCTTCTCCCCCCCTGCTCGGGGGAGGTGTTCCCCCCTCCCCGTCCCCCTACCCTGGGCCTGAGAGGGGGGGCTGCGAGGCGCTGGAGCGTCCAAGATGGCCCAGGATGGTTCCAAGAGGGCATCAGAGAGCCCAAGATGGCCTCCAAGATGGCCCACGATAGCCGAGCATGGTTCAAGACAGCCTCCAACATACCTCTAAGAGGCCTCAACCAGCCCCAAGACAGTTCCAAGTGCCCTTCGAGCCTTGCTAGGCACCTCCAAGAGGGCAAACTCCTTCAAACATCGAAGGACAACCAATGTTTGGTGCCTCCATTTTTTTCGCTTCCGACAAGCGTTTGACGCCTCAGGCTGGGCACAAGACGGCCCAAGAGAGCCCCAAGAGGGGCCTAGCCCCAAGAGCGCACAAGAGCGTTCCCAGAGCGGCCCACGAGGGCCTCAAGCCGCCAGTTTTGAGCCTCCGATGGGGGGGCCTGAATTCAGGACCCCCCTCTCTTTGAGCCATGTGGCCTAACAGACCTCCCAGACCCTTCCAATGAACCACAGGAGGGCCCCAAGACCCCAAAATGAGCCCCCAAGAGGGCCCTGAGAGTGCCGCAAGAAGCCCCACGGGGACCCCAAGAGAGCCCCTCAGATGGCCTCACTCGTCCTTCAAGAGCCTCTCACAACAACGTATCTCAAAAGCCCAACTTATCATCCTTCTTGTCTTCGTTCCTTCCCTCCTCTCTCCTCCTCCTCCTCCTCCTCCTCCTCCTCCTCCTCCTCCTTTTCCTCCTCCTCCTCCTCCTCCTCAACCTCCTCCTCCTCCTCCCCTTCCTCCTCCTCCTCTTCTTCCTCGTGCCACGTTGCTCCTCCTCTTCCTCGTCTTCCTCCTCCTCCTCCTGCTCCTCTTCTTCCCCCTCCCCATCCTTCTCCCTTTTTCCTCCTCCTCCTCCTCCTCCCCTTCCTCTCCCTGGCCCCAAGACGGTCCCAGTAGGTCGAGCATGGCTCAAAATAGCAAGAGGCCTGAAGATAGCGTCAAGATGGTCCAAGATAGCTGAGCATGGCTCAGGGTCCAAGAGGCCTTAAGAACGTCTCCGCTCGTGTCTGGATGGGATGGTGGGGGTACTTTTTAGTCGCGAGCGCAAAGCGGTACAGCCGCGCGCCGACAGAACGAAGCAACAACGCAACGGCCTAAATTACGCACCAAGCGCACAGGAGCGAACTACGCTGCGGTTCAGAAAACGCGGAGGACCAGGAAGGGACCCAGGTCGACGTGCAGAGCCAAAATGGCGATGAGCAACAAGAAGCCGACGAACTCGAAAACCACCGTGACGTAGCCGAAGAGGACGACGAACAGGTGTGCAGGCGCTCAACGGGAGGGGTCAGGATCGCCAAGAGCGGGAGCGTACCCGCGGCGGAAGCGCCACCCCGGCGGGGGGGCAGGAGAAGCGACGCCAGGGCAGCACAGAAGCAGCGAAGACGACGAGCCAGCGAATGGTGGGGATGCGTCAAGCGTCAAGAATTGTTCGTCCCGGTCCGGTCTTTGATGGTCCTGGGGCCAGGTAGCGGGCCCCAGAAGCCGAACTCGTAGGAAAACCGCCTGTTAAAAACCAACATCGTCGGAAATCTGCGATCGGTGGTCGCCCCGTCATTTGGGCGGCGTTGTCGTAGGATCGACGGCTGATGATCGAAGATCGATGAGACCACCGATCGAGGAAAGGAGGATGACGATAAGGAGGAGGAGGAGGAGGAGGAGGAGGAGGAGGAGGAGGAGGAGAGGAGGAGGAGGAGGAGCAAGAGGAGGAAGAGGAGGAGGAGGAGGAGGAGGAGGAGGGAGGAGGAGGGAATGAGGAGGAGGAGGAAGAGGAGGAGGAGGTGGAGGAAGAGGAGGAGCAGGATGATGAGGAGGAGGAGGAGGGAGATCAAGGGCCCGACGAGACACGAGAGGCCCGATCGCGAGCTCAGCGGACGCCGAGCGTCGAACACGGCCACGAGCCCGACGTCGGGCCCGAAGCCGCGGAGGTGCAGCGCCTCGACCACGCGCGGCAACGCCAGCGCCAGCGCCGCTGGCGCGCCCTCTTGGGGCGCATAAGCCGATTGCGACGAACGACGAAAGACGACGACGATGACGACGACGACGACGGCGGCGGCGGCAGCGGCGGGGGCGGCGGCGTCAAGAACCACGACGATGACGACGACGGCGACCACATCGACGACGGAGACGACAACGAGGACAGCGACGGAAACGAGGACGGCGGTGGCGACGACGACAGCGACGACAACGAGGACGGCGGCGCCGAAGACGGCAACGCCGACGACGGCGGCGAAGATGGCTGCAGCGCCGACGACGACAACGGCAACGGCCACGACTGCGACGGCGCATCGGCAGACCTGGGATTGCGCTCCATCGCAAGGCGTCGAGGGGGCGAGGGGAAGAGGAGGAGGCGGAGCAGGAGGTGGAGGAGGAGACGAAGGACGAGGAAGAGAAGGGGGAAGACCAGTGTACACCAAAGGCGCATCAACGATGTTGCAAAACCAAACCTCCCTCCGAGATCCCTTTTCATAGTTTCCTGCGTGAATTAGTTTTCTCTGCTGGAAGCGCCCCGTTGGAAGACAACCACCTGAGAATCCTCAATCGTGCCAAAAAAACAACTCCTTGGACTTCAACGCCGCGTTTTAACCTTCCTGTTGCGTCCAGACGATCCTACACCGTGCCAGAACGCCATTCCTGGGACTTCAGCACCGCGAATCAACCTGACTGTTGCGCCCTGAAAATCCTGAATCGTGTCAGTACACCACTTCTGGGACGTTAATCATAATATCCCATTCGCCTGTTGTAAACCTTGCAAACGAATGCGCGCGACGTTAAAGCGAAAACCACACTTTGAGCACGACCCGCCTTCCATCAGGGAAGCTCTTGCAACTTTTAAAGACGAATGGGGGCAACGCTCTGGCGAGAACCGCATTTTGAAAACGGCCCGCTCCCCATCCGCAAATGCCCTGCAAACTCTTGAGACGAATGCGCGCGGCGCCACAGCGAAGGCCACATTTTGAACACGGCACGCCTTCCATCCGGAAATGTCTTGCACACTTTCAAAACGAATGTGTGCGGCTGTCCGCGGCGCCATGGCGAGAGCCACATGTTGAAAAGGATCCGCCCTTCATCCGTGAAGCTCTTGGAAGCTTTTGAGACGAATGTGCGCGTCGCTATGGCGAGAGCCACATTTTGAGAACGACCCGCCCTCCATCCACGAAGCTCTTGCTAACTCGAGGAAGTCTCGGGCGAAACGCCCGGCCCGCCTTACAGACACGTCTCGGGGTGCGACAGGGCAGCGTTGGTTACAAGGAAGAGGAATGGCGGACGATGATCCAAAGAATGAGGAGAAGGAGGAGGAGGAGGAGGAAGAGGAGACAAACGACAAGGAGGAGGAGGAGGAGGAAGAGGAGGAGGAGGAAGAGGAGGCCCTTACCTAGCCCTCCCCCTCCTCCTCCGCTCTCTGCAGGTGGTGCTGCCAGCCAGCCATCCACCTTCACCGACCCTCGCAAGGCCAGTCCTTCCCTCCATGGCCAGCGGGCGCGCGTTCCCATCGAAAGTTAGAGGGGGGCGGCTGTGACGGTGACGACGGCAACGACGACGGCAAAGACGACGGCAACGACGACGGCAACGACGACGACGTCGAAGACGTCGACAACGACATCGACGTCGACAAGGACATCGACGTCGACAACGACGTCGACAACGACGTCGACGTCGACGACGACGACGACGATGACAACGACGACGACGACGACGACGACGACGACGACGACGACGACGACGACGACGGCGTCGACGGGTGCGACCGAAGACGGCGGCGACAACAACGGCGACGGTGGCGACGATAGCGACAGCGAGAACGGCGAAAACTGCGGGGAAGAGACGGAGGACGACGAAAAGGAGCCTGAGATCCGACGCTGCGGAACAACAAATCGGCATCGCGAAAATGCACGAGGACCCGCAGACCCCATCTGCCTGCGGCATTCTGCCTGCGGCGTCTTTCGAGCCACATCGATCTGTGATGGCCCCGAGACCCGAAACCGGGTAAAAGAACCCGGTGTGGACAAAGAACTGCAACGCCCGGGCCTTAGAGGACGACGACGAGGACGTTAAGGTCCACGGCAGCGACGATAACGACGACTGCGGCGACGGGAACGAGAACGTCAGCGGCGACGACTGCGGAAAAGGGAACGAAGACGGCGACGAGCACGTCGACGAGGACGACGAGAACGAGGACGAAGACGAGGACCAGGCCGACGCCGACGACGAGGGCAAGGACGAGGACGAGGACGAGGACGAGGGCGAGGACGAGGACGAGGACGACGACGACGACGACGACGACGACGACGACGGCGCCGCCGCCGCCGCCGCTGGCGGCCCAGACATCAGGCGCTCCAATTTTTGCGATGCATGGGTCCCCAGAGGTCTGGACGACTTCCCTAGGACCAATCGTCCTGATTCGTTTTTTGACTGTCGTGGGGCCCGTTGAGGGCCCCTGGAGGCCGAAAGCAGCCAAAAAACGGCCGCTCCAATCTCTTCGAAGCCTTGGATCTCTGGGGACTGGGGGTGCCGAGGACGATAGCGACGGCTGCGGCGGCGACGAGGACAACTCGTCCTCTTCCTCCTCCACCCCCTCCTCCTCCTCCTCCCGCCTCCTCCTCCCTGCTCCTTCCTCCTCCTCCTCCTCCTCCCCCTCCTCCTCCTCCCGCCGCCTCCTCCTGCCCCTCCTCCTCCCGCCTCCTCCTCCCGCCTCCTCCTCCTCCCGCCGCCTCCTCCCGCCTCCTCCTGCCCCTCCTCCTCCTGCCTCCGCCTCCTCCTCCTCCCGCCTCCTCCTCGTCCTCCTCCTGCCTCCTCCTCCTCCTCCTCCTCCTCATCCCGCGGCGGCGGCGGCCGGGCCCTGGGCACGGCGGCGCCGGCGGCCACGCTCCGCACCGCCAGCCCCGGCGCGGGGACGTAGTCGCCGTCCGTCGGCGCGAGGCTGGCGCGGGCGCGCTTCGGCGGCCTCTGCGGGGAGGCCACGCGGCCACGGCGGAGGCCGGCGCCGCTCGGCGCTCGGCGACGGGTGCTTCGGCGACGCTCGGCGGGGCGGCGCTCGACGACGACGCTGCTCGGCGACGCTCGACGACGACGCTCGGGCGCGGGAAGTAGTTGCCTCGGGCGGGAGATAACTGGGGAGTGGCCCACATGGGGGGTGAAGAAGAGGGCCCCGAAGTTTGTTTCTCGGGGATCGGTGGTCTTCTTACCAGGGTCAATCCAGACCCGGGTCAGTCGGGCCTTGCAAGGTCCTGCAGGATCCTGCACCCAAGACCGGGTCAGCGCACCCCTGGCTCTGCAGGATCCTGCAAGATCTTGCACCCCTGGTCCTGGAGACTGCAAGACCTGGCGATCTGACTGACCCGGGTCAATACAAACCTGGGTCAGTCAGGCCTTCAAGATCCTGCAGGATCCTGCACCCAAGCCCGGGTCAGTGCGCCCCTGGCTCTGCAGGATCCTGCAAGACACGGCGCTCTGACTGACCCCCATTTGCACTGACCCCTGTTTCTTGAGCCCCGATCGCCGTCCTCAGGGCCCCTTTTGGGCCCTTCTTTGGCGCCGATCGCCGTCCTTGGGCCCTAGACAGAACCCTTTAGAGCCCCAGCCCACGGGGCCCAGGAATCCCAGACGACGACGACGACGACGACGACGACGACGACGACGACGACGACGACGACGACGACGACGACGACGACGACGACGACGACGACGACGACGACGACGACGACGACGACTACGACGGCGCGACGACGGCGACGACGAAGACGAAGACGACGACGACGGCGACGACGACGATGGCGGCGACGACGACGACGACGCTCCGAATCCCTAGGAAGCCTTCGGAACGTGTGAAATCAACAAGGATCCCAAGGCATCCCTTGGAATCCCTGGGAATTCCCCTGGGAATCCCTGGGAATCCCTGGAATACTTTTTGGGAATCCCCGGAGATCTTTGGGAATCCCTGGGAGTCCTTGGAAACCCCTGGGGGCCCCAAGGAATTTATAAGGGGGGGGGGGGGGCGGCCCCCAGGAGGGGGCGCGGGTTGCGAGCGGGGCGGCGCAGGGTGCTCCTCCTCCTCCCCCATCCTTCCCCTCGCCCTCCTGCCCCTCCTGCTCCTCCTCCTCCTCCTGCTCCTCCTCCTCCTCCTCCTGCTCCTCCTCCTCCTCCTCCTCCCCCATTCCTTCTCCTTATAGGTAACTCCTCTCTGTCGCACCCCGAGGCCAGTTTTTAGGGCGGGCCAGGCGTTTCGCCTGAGACTTCCTCATCCTCGTTCACCCTTTATGACCCTGGAGCTTAAACAATGACAACAATTTCACAGATGGAGGGCGGGTCGCTTTCAAAACGTGACTGTCGCCTCAGCGCCGCGCACATTCGTTTAAAAACACATGCCACAGCTTCACGGATGGAGGGCGGGTGGTTTTCAAAATGTGGCTCTCGCCTTAGCGCCGCGCGCATTCGTCTTAAACATTGACAAGAGTTTCACATATTGAGGGCAGGTGGTTTTCAACATGTGGCTCTCGCCTTTGCGCCGCGCGCGTTCGTCTTAACAATTTGCAGGAGCTTCACGGGTTGAGGGCGGGTGGTTTTCAAAATGTGACTCTCGCCTTAGCGCCGCGCCCATTCGTTCCAACGAATGGCAAGAGTTTCACGGATTGAGGGCGGCTCCTTTTCAAAATGTGGCTCTCGCCTTAGCGCCGCGCACATGGGTTCTTAAACTTTGCAAGAGTTTCACGCGTTCCCATGATCAGCGCACCAGAAATTGTGTTTTGGAAGGATTCAGGATTATGCGGGCGCAGCAGTTTTGTGGATTCGCTCTGTTGAAGTCGCAAAAATGGCGTTCTGGCACGATTCTGGATCGTCAAGACGCAGCAGTCAGGTTGATATGTGGCGTTGAAATCCAGAGAAAAATGTTTTGGCACGCTTCAGGCTCTTCAAATTGTTGTCTTCCAACGAGGCAGTTCCCTCAATGGAAATGAACCGTTGTAGGGGCCCATGAAGAGGGAACTTGGAGGGAGGCTTGATTCCAACATCGTTGATGACTCTTGGGTTTCCACTGGTCTTCCTCCTCCTGCTGCCCCTCCTGCCCCTCCTCCTCGTCCTCCTCCTCCACCCCTCCTCCTCCTCCTCCTCCTCCTCCTCCTCCTCCTCCTCCTCCTCCCTCCTCCTCCTCCTCCTCCTCCTCCCCCTCCTCCCCCTCCTCCTCCTCCTCCTCCTCCCTCCTCCTCCTCCTCTTCCTCCTCCTCCTCATTCTCCTCCTCCTCCTCCTCCTCTTCCTCCTCCTCCTCCTCCGCCTCCCCCTCTTCCTCCTCCTCCTCCTCCACCTCCTCCTCCTCCTCCTCCTCCTTCTCCTCCAAGGCGGCGGGACATCGCAGAAGCTCTCCGGCCTTCTGGGAAGTCTTCTGCGTCTCCGGGGAAGGCTTAGAACACTTGTCAAAGGCCGGGGAACTTCCGAGCCTTCTGAGATGGCCTTTTCGTTCTCACTTCCCCCTGGGCTCGCCGCAGATTGAAGGGTCAGGATCTGGGGCGACACTCACGCCTCGTGAGAAGAAAGGTTTGGCCTCGGAGGGGGGTTCTCTGCGAGGCGGGGCTTTATCCATATCCACCATCTGGGAATCGACGCCCCGGGAACCCAGCTGGCGGTGGATACGGATATAGTTTGGTCCCGGGGGGCAACATATATCCAGATCCACAGCCTTCAGAGGTCCGCGAAAATCGATCTTCCACGCGGCGGTTCTGTATCACCCCCCGCCTCGGATTGTCTAACAAATTCAGGGCTGTCCGAAGGCCCTCGGAAGCCGTCGGCCGCGTCTCCATGCTTTTCGACATTCCCCCTGGAGTTTCAGGAAGTCTCGAGAGGCCTCCAACTGCTTTCGAAGTTTTTCCCTCTTCCTTCCGCCCTTCCGCGGAGGACAATCGACGAGGGAGGATGACCAGGGCACCTGGGATGAGGGAGGAGATGGGAGAAAAGAAGATGTGAGAAGGAGGAGGAGGGAGGAGAGGAAGAGTCGAGGGGACGAGAGGCGGGAGGGGAGTAATCAGAAGAGGGAGGGGGACAAGGGAGATGAGGGACACGAAGAAGGAGCAGCAGCATCAGCAGCAGCAGGGAGTAGAGGAGAGGAGTCGAGTACTTAGAGCAAGCAAAAAGGGAGGATATGGGGCAAGCGAGAAAGCAAGAGGAGCGGCGGGTGTAGTTCCCCCTCCCGTTCGTCGTCGTCGCCCTCCTCCTCCGCCTCCTCCTCTTCCTCCTCCTTCCTCCTCCGCCTCCTCCTCCTCCTCCTCCTGGCTCAAGCTTGTCTCCTTGGCCAGGTCCAAGGAGCTAGGGCCCAAGCTTGCAGCGAACTCGGCCCGCCCCGCACCATTTTGGCACAACCAGACGATCAATCTCGTTCGGCACCCAGCCAGCACTCCGCCATGGGAAATAACAACAAGACATCCAGTAGCAGCCGTGGGACCGGCGCCCGCAAATACATCTGCTGCCAAACGGGGAAGTGCAAATTATGAGGTGCGTGTGGACATGCCTTCATAAATCGACGGTCGGACTCCACCACCTCGTCCAAGCCCACCGAGCGCGACAGCAACAACGGTACTCCAGGGAGGTGGCGCAGGCGATCATTCAGCCCATCGTCCAAGTCCCACCCAGCAGGAGCTGCAAGTGATCGTGCGCTCGAGGCTCCAGAGCGTGACCCAGTGGCTGCGTGCACGGGCGCGGTGCAGTTCTGGAAGAAGATTGAAGGCACCTCGGGACCGCACTGCCTGCAGGCCGTCGGAGAGTTGAAATCAGTTGAAGCGTCCATGTTGGCATCCAAACCCTGGGACCAGCAGCGAAAATCCTCGCGCGACTAGCTCGAGGTCAGTAAGAAGAGCCTGCGGGACGCCCAGTCGGAGTGCGACAAGGCCTGCCAGGCCATGGTCAGACTAGCCAGCGAGCATGAAAAACAGATCACACTAGTCTCGGACCTCGTCGCCGAGACCAAGCAGCTAGAGACCCAGCACCAGATGGCGGTGGAGCAAGCCTTGAGGGAGCCTGCGATCGCCGCCACCCCGTCGCTGGAGTCCTTCATCCAGAGCCAGTTCCCGCCAGGCCTCGCCCCGTCGAGCGAGGTCCAGTCGGCTATCCAGCGGCTCTCGGCCCAGCTGAACGAGGTGTTGTGGCAGCAGCGAGATGAGCGGATGCTTTTGCCTTGAGCCAAATCGGCAAACGACAGTACTGTCTTCTCTAGCTGACCGCTGCGTCTGAAACGAACGAGTTCCCAAACTCGTTCTTATGACATGATCAACAGAAAAGATCATTAAGCTAAACCTATAATACCGAAATCAGGAAGCCTGTCACATGGGTCAAGCTTTCTCCTAGGTTTAGCTTCCCCGTACATAAAGCAGTAACTGTACACAGCAAGTCAGACACCCTGGAAGAACAGGATGGGCTAGGAAGGAGAGGGAGGAAGTGAGGTCGTCCCGGAGGCCAACCCCGAAGCCGACAGGGCTGAGACAAACTCCGCCCACGATACCAGACGGGAGTCGCCGTCGAGGGTCCTTCTCGAAGCAGCGTGGGATCGGTCCTTCGCACCTGGCTGCTCTTTGCGACGGGCCATCTCAGCACCCTCGTCTATTAGCACCAGCCGACCGTTGGCCAGAAGATTGGCCAGGGCGGCGTTGCTCTTGCTCACGTCGTCCTTCGTGAGCGTATCCACCGGCATCCTGCCGCGTGGCACCCATCGTACGTGGCCCCGGGCTCTCTCGAGGGTCTCACATACCCCCGCCAGATCCAGAGCTGTGCGCCTGTCTCGGGCGCTGGCATTGCCCTCCTTGAGCATCGTGTCGTAGATGCTTTTTGCGTCTACCACATGAACTTGATCCACTCGGCCGCCTAATCGACAGTCCCTCCTGAGAACTGTCGTGAAAGGTCCCGAACCCCTGGACGTGTCATTCACATCAGCATCCCTGAAAACCACGTCCCGGTACAGAACCTGC